GCTGCCGCCACCGCCGCCACCGCCGCCACCGCCGCCGCCGCCGCCACCACCACCACCCGACCTCCATTTTTTTTTTTACTGAGTTCTTGAGGCATTTGCTAGTAATGTACAACCACATTAGGAGGTCTACACCCACCAGTGTTCCACTACAAGCCTACTACAAAGAGAGCCTTCTTGTGGGGTTTAAGGGTAGCTTTGGTCCACAGCATCCCTGTGAATGAAATTATAAACCTCAAGGCACCAACCTATGGATCTAGAAACACAATAAACACCAGTCATTAAAATGTAGTCCTACAATGGAATCCAGATCTTCAACAGCATGGCTTAGATATTTCATGTGAGAACTGGGGAGGAAATCTCTCCGGATTGTCATCGACTCCATCCCCCTAGGGAAAACAGCCCGGAGTAAAAAGTCACATAAAGACAATCTAACAGACTTCATTAAATTGATATTGATGGGTTGCCAGCCAGAGTCACCTACTGAAGTTCATTTGGTCCATTGCACTTAAAGTCACATCTGCTGTCATATTTGCCCCTTAAGATATGGGACCTTGGTGAACATCACCTAAATATATCCAGAAAGATGGTTTTTGTTTGCCTGGGTAGCAGCAGATGTTTTTGGCTGAAAGAATGCACTCCAAGATGTTTTAGTATCCTCATCATTGCAGCATCCTCTGTGAGCTGTTGCATGTTCTAGGGACCAACTTCATTCGAGGAGAGGGTACACACAGGGTCTGGTCAGTTAGGTTAGCCTAGAAGCTACAGTGACTTGGTCTCTTTTAGAGCAGGGTGGGCCACCGCCTGTGCATGTGAGCAGTCCGGGTGTCCCCTGTGGGACTCCAGCATCCTTGAGCTCGGGGGCACCACGAGTCTAGTCATTGTGCACTGTAGAGAAATCAAAGAATTCCAGAGCAAGGCCCTGGAATGCCTGGCTGCCTCCCAGGTCTCTTATGAAGAAATAAATCCCATTGTTGCCTCCACCCCCCACCCCCCCCACCCCTTTCCGTGCACTGGGTCGGAGTCGGCGGCGCGGAGTCGCTTACTGTACCAGCACCTCTCTCCCTCCGAGGAGGCAACTCAGCCATTCCAGGAAGCACGACATCTAATAACATAAACTCAGAGTGCTCCCCACATTCATCTTCTACACAGACCCGCCTGTCCTGTCAGGGCTCCAGTGCTTCGTGACTGTCCTCATGCCTCCGGAGGGCTGCGTGATCACCCTTCCAGTTGCTTTTTGAACCCATCCCAAGCTTGTGTCAGAAGCGCGGGTGATGGATTCCCTGTGCCATCAACGTGAGCCATGGATTAGAATATAGCACACATTTACGCCGCATGGGATGGTAAACAACACAGCGTGTACTCGACTTCATAAACACGCTGCCTTGTTACAAAGGCCACTGAAAACGCAGTGTGATAGGACTTGACCTTAAAAGCTATCGACAATCTAGCCCAGCACAGACGGTTTCGTGGAGTACAATCACTTCCTGGAATTCTTGGGCCAGCGAAGTCGGAGCCGAGCAAATCCTGTTTTCCTTGCATTGTTTCCTGCATGTGAATACCATCAGTCTAGCAGGTCTGTAACCATGGCACCTGTAAATAGCCCAGGGGTGACTTCTGATAAAGGCATGCCCTGTAAGTTTTTTTTTTTTTTCTTAGACAAGTCCACATCAAACCCTGCAACTGTCCTGTGTCAAGAGCAAAATTGACAAATCGCAGTTTCAAAGCCACGTACAGGTCCAGATATGATATTAAATCACATACACACGCAAAAAAGCAACATGAATGCCTATAGAACTGGGGGTGAGGGGAGCTGTTTTTCATAATTGAAATGCAGATTTCCTCAATCCATCAGAGCAGCGGAAGGACACGCACCATGAAGAACAGGAGACTTGACAACAGACTTTTCATTTTTTTACCTCCCCCAGGCCGAGAAACGCTTATCGGGCATCCTTCAGTTTCTCCCGCCAGTGGGAAAGGAGAGAAACGGCAGTGTTGCTCCTTAGAATTTCCAATGTGAGAGTCTCAGTCTTTGGGCTGGGGAGGTGGCTCAGTCTAGAGTACCTGCCACAAGCATGGGGACCCTAGTGTAGATCGTATAACGATGCAAAAAGCCAGGCAAATGCTTCTGTAATCTCGGTGCTGGGGGCTGGGGGTGGGGTGCAGGAGACTAGTTCATTGGCTAGCTTCAGGCTCAATGAGCGACCCAGTCTAAAAATATTAGAAGGGGGGGTATTATCTTCCAAAGATACTCAGTGTTCATCTTTAACCTCACCCACCCTGACACACATACTCTCTCTCTCTCTCTCTCTCTCTCTCTCTCTCTCTCTCTCTCTCTCTCACACACACACACACACACATATGCACACACACATGCAATCATACATACACATCACACATTCTCACACACAAACACTCATACACACATACACATCTGCATGCTCACCCACTTGCACATATGCACATAACCATGTGTGTGTGTGTGTATAGATACACATGAGTGTGTATCTATCTATATATACATACACACATATACACCCCCACATATACACTGCACCCCTCCCCAAATCTACTTGAAAAATAAAAACAGTTCTTTGTCTTCAGGGATTTGACCTGACTTTGGGAGATTCAACTCCAAATTTATTGAACATATGTCAGGTTTGTGCCTTTGTTTTGAGATGGTATAGAGAATAAGATGTGTCAGAATAGTTCATTCTGAAAGCCCCCCCCCAAAAAAAAAACAAAGACACTCTTCCCAGCTTTGCTTTAAATGCCTCTGTATATAAAATTTACACTTGGCCAATCTGTCTTGGCTCTTCAGCTATGGGTGTGGTTGAGCTATCAGTTGCGTTAATGCCTCAGGTTAAAATTTTCTGGCAGATTTGAAACATGGTAGATATTGGGCAAAGAGTCAGCTAAAGTGTTCTGAGCTAAGAAAGATGCCTTAGGAAGAGCAATCAAGAGAAAAAGAGCTTGTGAGGATGGCCACCTATGTTTGACTTCTTTTATGATCCTGAAAGTTTTGTGACAGCTTAAAATTATTTCTACCTCAAATTTTAATGAAAATTGGTAATGTCTGTCCATTATTTATACTTGAACTCCAACGGTTATCTCCATGCCTTTGGGAAAAATGAAATCTTCCATTGAGCTAATGTATAGTACATGGTAAATGCTAAATGACTTAGACCCTTAATGAACAATATAAGTCTCCGTTTAACCCTTTATGTTAAAAAGGCAGCTTCCATATTTTTAGTGAGTTGATCTGCTTTCAAAACCTTCACTCTGGCCAGGCGGTGATGGTGCATGCCTTTAATCCCAGCACTTGGGAGGCAGAGGCAGGCGGATCTCTGTGTGTTCGAGGCCACCCTGGGTCTACAAAGTGAGTTCCAGGATAGGCTCCAAAGCTGCACACAGAAACCCTGTCTTGAAAAACCAAAAATAAATAAATAAGAAAGAAAGAAAGAAAGAAAGAAAGAAAGAAAGAAAGAAAGAAAGAAAGAAAGAAAGAAAGAAAAAGCAAAAAACCCTTCACTCTGCAAGACATGAATCTGCCTCTCAGATGACCTATGGCTATTCAAACTATATAACACTTTCTTAAAACAATCAAGACTCAAGATAATTCTTGGGCTAAAACCTCAGATTAGTGAGGGCCTGAGTCACCATCGGAATCCAGATGACCACAACTTCTGGATAATTTTACTTAGGGTCAAGAATGCAACTGTACTGATGGCTGGTATCAGACATAAATATTCTGAGGACCCTGGAGGAATTGGGAGGAATTGGGAGGAATTGGTTAAATCCAGAACTCCTAGAATGTGGGTCAGAATAATGGGAAGAGAATAGTATGGGTCAGAATGTGGGAAGAGAATGTGGTCAGCATAAAAGAAATGGCATTGAAGTCTTGAAGCCATGTGCTACATCATTTCAACTTGACTTCCCTATCTCAGGTCTTTTCTCCTTGCTCAATTTGTAAAATGACCACCATTGTGTCAAATGACTAAATTCCTAAATATTTTTTGAGGCATTATTTTAAATTATGCGGCACTTGCTGGCCTTGAACTCAGGAACCGCATTTGCCTTTGCCTGCCACCACTAGGATTAGGAGTATGTTCTACCGTAGCTGGCAATATTTGGTTTCTTTATGGGAGGTCAACTATTCCTAATTGCTTTTGGGCAATAAAATAAACTTCAGTAACAGAGGAAGAAAAATTGTATTAAGTTAATATTTTTAGCCACCTACATTATGTGACCTAGGGATCTGTTGATGTCAGTTCTCTTTCCACAGGGTGAGAGGTCTGCCTTCTCCATAGACAGAAGTTACCTCACCTCATGAATTCATATGGAACTCTTACCAAGAGTAAAAAGAGGCAGAGAGGTGTGTTTTGGCACACTTTCTGGTCAACAGTGCTTATTAGTGTCTTGTCACCATATTTCCTGAAACGTTGTGGCATCCCAAAGTTGCCATTCTGATAAACATGAGCAACTTTCTCAATAGCCGAGGGGAGGGGTATGTACCATGACTTTGGAACTGAGCTTGGCTTTATATGCTATATTTACTTTGCACTAATCATTTTGGGAGATAACATATCTCCTTTTCATGAGGGTCCCCAAGGGACCACAGGCATACAATGTCACTTCATACCACACAAACAATGCAACATAGAAGACTCCTTCTAACATAATAAACAACCCACAGTCCCTGTGTTCTTGACATTGACAATGCTTTTTCAAGTTAGATCAAAAAGAGACTTTTTTTTTTTTTATTCTTGGTGTCTGTCTGAACAGGGCGAAAAGCCAAAAAGCTCTGTCCAGTAATACAGTGCAGCAGACCTGCAAACTTGATGGTCTAAATGAATTGTTACCAATGTGTGGAAAGCATTTATCCTTGAGTATGCAATGCATAAGGAAATTATTTTAGGTTTCAGTTCTCTCAGGTCAGTTATAGTTTAAATTGTTTTTCTGACAACTTCACTAGGCCTGGTTGAATAGCGACCAGCCCAATAAAGAAATGGGATTTGAGTTATCAGCTTATCATTGCACATCCTTTAAGGTGTATAGTCTGAGTTATTAACTGTAACTATTACCTCGTGATTAACTGTATATAGAAGTTTTGGGTAGGCTCTTTAGGAGGCTGGATTTTTCTTTTACAGTAGAGTAGTGCATGACCGACTCCTTGAAAGCAAATGACCTTAGATACAGTACCTCACTTGAATGCTAGTGATTAGTTGATGCCTTGGGGGAAAGTATAATTATTATTATTTCCATTCTTCACATATGATAGGAAAACACTCAGCCACTGAGCTACATCTCATGCCTGAAATTTGAACCCTAACTTCTGGCATTTTATTGCTCCAAATTAAGGATTACTAGCTTCCTGTGGAGAAATTAGATGTGCAAGAGTTAGCCACTTACATAACAGCAATCACACTGTGAGCTGGACAGTGAGAGGGGGCAAGGGAGAAGTCCAGTGGAAATCATGTATCTTTGTGGGGACATGGTTCCACTTTTTTCCCATTCCTCACTCACAGCCTTTTCCACCCATGTCCCTTGGGATTTCTCCAGGTTCTTCAGAAAATTCATTTCTCATGTCAGCTGCCAATAGGCTGGTACTGGAACTGAAGGCTATGTACTGGATAAACAGTCAGCGGTTTCCACAGCAGCAGCTAGCCCTGGTTTTCAATTTTTGAAAACCTTTTTTGCTAATTGAGTGACAACTTGATGAGATTTAGAGTCACAGGATATAAAACCTCTGGCTGGGGCTGTGAGGACATTTTTAGAGACATCACATCCTATGAACCAGAGTTCTAGAGTAAATAAAAAGGAGAACATATGCCTCTTTCTCTGCTTCAGACTGCAGATGCAATGTGACCTTCCACCCAACATTCTTGATGTTGTTCCTTCCCACCACAATGGACTCTATTCTCAAACTGTGAACCAGAACAAATCCTTCCTTCTCCTAGTTACTTCGGCCGTACAGTTGAGAAAAATAACTAATATATCTATCATACAGTTTTCATCTAAAATAGTTTAAGCACTATTTTGTCCCCGCTCCCCCCCCCCCACACACACAAAAAAACCCAAAGATTTACTCAGTCCTAAAATTTTAGGTCATCAACACTGATGATGACTAGTGATTGTCAACTTGACAGAAGTAGACTCATCGAGTGGACAAATCTCTGAGCATGCCTATGAGGGGTTATCTAGATTGTGTTAATTGAGGTAGGAAGACTCACCTTAACTGTGAATGGGACAGTTGCATGAGTTGTGGTCCTGGACTGAATAAAATGGAGAAAGCAAACTGAACGCCATGTCTAAGCACCATGGCTGTGGATGCTCTGCGAACTGTAGCTTTGATGCCATGATTTCCCCAGCCACATGGACTATATCCTCAGGCTGTGAGCCAAAACAAACCCTTTCTCCACTAAGTTGCCTTTGTTAAAGTCATTTGTCACAGCAATGGGAAAAGTAACTAATACAAATGCCATTCTCTGTTTACATTTCTTTTGTATGATTTGCATAGTATGTATTTGTTTCTTTAAGAAGAACTTGGGTGGATCATTTCTGAATTTCTTTGCC